TGGCTGATTGACATCTAATCTCAAATTGAAACACCATGAAATCATTTATTTCATGTGAGTCTGGTACAAACCTTTGTGAGCCTTTGGATACAACTGGTCTGAGTTTTGAATTTGCAACATAACCAGCAGCATTTTGTGTAATACTGGAAGTTAATATGTTGCACAACTGTGAGGAAATTCCAGTCATGACATGGAACAGATTATTCAAGTGGACAGTGGAGACTATACAGCACGCATGAATGTAATTATGATGTCAAGAATGGGGCAAGGATTAAGGGACATTGCACTAGACAGTTGGTAATCTAACCGCTTTCATTTTAATCTAAATACTGGAGCTACAAGCAAAGATCCAGCTAAACCAGTGAAACAGGATAAAGACATAAGAATGTGGGAACTCAGTAAACAGACTTAAAACAAGTAACATTCTGCACCAGGAACATTTGCTGTGTTTGTGGGCTTGACATCTAGCAAAAACAAGGAGAAAAGGTTAACAACTGTAATACACACTGGATTTAAATGGTCACTAGCATGGAGAAAACATTGAAATGGATCTTAAAAGAATTGCATGTTAATATCGAAAGATGTTTGTAGCATTTGCAGAAAGCCAGCACAGAACGCTGAAACATGCAGACCAATAATCTGAACAATACAAACTTTTTAGTTATACAATTTGCTGTTAACTGTAAATGACATAAACACAATAGGTATAAATAATACTCCGTATGTTCATCGTACACATACAACCTAGGCAGTACATCCCCACGTCATTTGGTTACAGACTTTAGGTATTCTTTCCCTCTCTCAAGGCCATACATATTCCAGTTATGCTCCCCACTCCTACCCAATTGTGCTCCCTCCGGATCCCAAGTTCTGCTTCCTTTCTCCTTCAAACCTCTTCCCATTAAGTATGGTACCAACTCCACCCTTACTTCTCGCTCTCCCAGTTCAAGTCATGCTCTGCTGGCGCACAGGCAGCACTCCAGAAGCTGAGTCAGTGCCACCCAGGAGCCTGTAAACAAGCTGCTCTGACTTCAAGTGAGTTAGACCAGTCCCTAGCTCCACCCCCGCTTGCGGCTTGGTAGAAGAAGGGAAGGATGGTGAAAGTGGGATGAGAATGGCCCCAGCACCAACAAGAGAGTGCAGCGCTGGCAGTCAGCCTATCTCCCTTCAGCACATCAAGCTGGCTGCTATGCTTTCAAGCTCCCAGGCCTGTGCACTGAACTAAACTTAAGAGTACAGCTGCAGCTGTGGTACCACCAGCCCCAATTTGAGGATTCCTGAGTCTAGTTTCATCATTTCTGCACAGTAGACAGAGACTGTATCTATAGTCACTCACGCTGTAGATATTCAGCAACATAGTTTTCTTGGCTTTTGATCAATTTGTGAGTTAGCTGTTTTTATTGGCATCGGTCTGTCGTGTCTCTCAGGTCACTTACTCTGTTCCAGCAGATGATACGTTATTGCTCTCTATTCAAATGTGGTAAACGACTGTGTCATGTCCTCTACTTGGGTTCTGTGAGTGGTGCTAAATGTCAATCTGGTTGTGCCGCTTGAATTCTAGGTAGAGGACAGTTTTGTTTTAATTAGCACCAGTTATCCCAGCAGCAAACACTGTCAAAGCTGCTTCTGTCCTTTCATTGTTTTTTTTTTTTTAATGTTTTTTAAACGCTGTTTCCCTAAATAAACTTTCCTTTTGTTCTCTCAAGGCTGAGTGGCTGGCACACTTCTCCCAGGCTTACTCGTTAGCTACTTGGACTCATGTTCAGTTTTGAACTCTAGCTCCATCTGATACCCCAAATTTATCTCCACAGTTTTGTTAGTCATCTTAGTCCCTTTGCTGGTTAGTACCACAGTGACTGAATCGCCACTGGTCCAATCTATTGAGAAGTCTTCCCAGAGCTTACCAGGACTAATTTACAGCAAACAGTAAATAAAACTCTCTTTTGAGATTATTTTGGTGGGCACTTCAAAATGAGTCCCATTTTTTACCTCCAAATTAAATAAACTCCTCAGGGCAGGGAGAGTCCTTACTCTATGGTTAAGTAGCACCCAGCACAAAAGGCTTCTACTCCTGACTCAGGCGTCTTGCTGCTTCTTTAATACAAATAATATATAAAGTTTGGCCCCAAATAAAATAGGTTGTAAATTCAAGAAGTCCCCAGAATGGTACCTGTACCATTCATTAGAGATTATTAGTCTGATCCCATGACATATAGGTAAATGAAAATCAGGCCTACAGCCACCATTCTTATTTCACAGCTAAGACTATTTTAGCCATGACCAAAGGAGCTTTCTCCCTCATCCTGCTGCACCTTCATGCTTGTTGCTATTTTAGTGGAACTGCAGAAGTCAGCAAGTGAATCTCTTAATATTTTTTAATCTGCTGAGTAAACGTCCCATTTAAAAGGCTAAGGAATGAAAAGAAGATCTCAGAAAAGACTGCCTTTTTATGGCCTTGTTTCCTCCCATTTTTCACCCCTCCTCCAACTCATAACACCCTAGCAGCAGCCACAAGTAATCTGTAACACAGGGGAAAGCTATGTAAATGGATGCTTGTTTACACACTTCAGAAAAAATGTAGCTTATTTTTTGCTTGAGGTCAGTTTCTCCTTAACCCAATGCCTGGGGCATGGGAGTCAGGATAGTTAGCAGCAAACTCCATCTCCCTCTTGTAGGTTACATAAAATTTCAGAGTAAAGAGCATCAAAGTAATTAGCCTCTAGCACCATTTCAGACAATGCCCATACCATAGGAGATTGGAAAACAATTCCTCCCTTATGGACTTGGGGGTCCTGGCGGCTGAACATGAGGAAATGCAATTCTAGGATGCATAAACAGGGGAATCTCAAGTAGGAGTAGAGAGGTTATTTTACCTCTATATTTGGCACTAGTGCAACCACTACTATAATACTGTGTCATTTTGGTGCCCACACTTCAAGAAGGACGTTGATAAATTGGAGAGGGTTCAGAGAAAACCACGAGAATGGTTAAAGGATTAGACAACATCCTTATAGATAGATGCAAAGAGCTCAATCTATCTTAACAAAGAGAAGGTTAAGCGTGACTTGATTACAATCTGTAAGTACCTACATGGGAAACAAATATATAAATGGACTCGTCGATCTAGCAGAGAAATGGTGGGGTGTTGAAGCTAAACAAATTCAGACTGGAAATAAAGGTGGTTCTTTTAAAGAGAGGATAATTAACCACTGGAGCAATTTACCAAGCGTCTTGGTGGATTCTCCATCACTGACTATTTTTAAATCAAGATCGGATGTTTTTCCAAAAGATATGTCCTAGAAATTATTTCAGGGAATTCTATGACCTATGTTATACAGGAGGTCAGACTACATGATCACTCCTCTGGCCTTACAATCTATGACCAGATTTTTCCTTCTGAGAGTCAACCTCACACTTAAGAAGAAGTATCCTTATGATATATATTTACAGGTAGTTATAAAACTGGACTTAAACATTTTGAATAGGTATTCCAATAAAAACAGCACAAAGGAGATAGAACTGTGTCTAGACAGGCTTGGAAATAACAGTGTAGAAAGTTTCTGAACCTGAAAATGCTGTTCTGTGAGAACAAGGTACATTCTCCCTGGTGCATACAGCTATGTCTGCCTATGCTCAAAGGAAGTTACAAGTTTTACCTGTATACAAAATACTTCTATTTTCTTTCAAACATAGTATTTTCTAAACATACAACATACGAGATGACCTTGGGATGTCATATTTGAAACCAAAAGCGTCGCCTGACCATTGAATTTGTTTTTAAAAAGTGCAGCACATGTAACCCCTAACATGGAAGTGAATGGAGAGCAAGAGATGGGCAGAATAAATAAAGTAAAAGCAGCAATGAAGTTTAAAGCTTTAAAGAGTTCCAGACTTCCAGCCAAAGAATACTCAGGAGGGTAGAGACATGTCTACTATCTCCAAAGGATTAAAATCCACTGCAAAGCACCAAAAGAAAAACAAATTCTTTTTAGTTATATAAAGATGTCCTCAATGACCCTCCCCTTGACATCCCCCCAAAACACAGTAGAATTATTAGGGAACTGATTTTTCAGGGTAAGAACGGTTGATTTTGTAGCTGGAGGACTGGAGTTGGGTAGCGACATTCAAATAGACTGAAATCCAAGCTACAGATCTTAGGGTAAATTTTTTTTAGAAACAGGTACGCGATTTGGAAGCTTAAGTCCCATTTTCAGAAGTGACTTCGAACACATTTTAAAAAATATTTAGGCACCTTGTATGATTTTACAAAAGATCCTAAATTCCTCACTCGCTTAGGAGCTTTCGTAAATTCCACTAGGCCCCTAAGCAGAAAGGTGCCTCAACACTTTTGAAAATCTGGCTTTTAGGCGTCCAAGTCCCTTTTTGAAAATTTTATCCCTCATCTCACTTCCAGGCTGGGAAAACTGCACGTCAGATTTCAACGTATTGTGATGTCTATCCCACTCCAGTCCACCAGAAAAAACAGGTAAATCAACCCAGACATTACTAGTGTAAGAAAAGAAGCAGGAAAAAAATTCTTAGGCCATCTCTGTACATCACAAAAGACCAATGAAGAGCACAAAGGCAACTGGGTCTACTCTTTTCAGTTCACCTTCAAGAGAATGTTCTCCACTGAGCTGTCATATACATCAACTCAGCAATATTTTAGGAATGAGGCTGGGATTTTTAAGGGATTTCTAAGGCAGAGAGGTACCCAAATCTCACTGAAAGTCAATGGGAGTTGGGCACATAACTCCCTTTGGCTCCTTTGAAAAGCTCAGCCCAAGAGGACACTGTCAGGTAGCTCTGGTCCACCTCATCCCTGTAAACGTCCTTTTTACAACAACTTTGTAATTTGCTTGTGCAGGTCTCTGATCGACACAGAGAGAAGACATTCTTTTCAAGCTCATGCTGGCTTCTTTCTATTTTGGTTATATTTGGAGCATAACTTGGTGTCCCCTGTGACACTCCTGTTCAACAAAACACACTGTATGCGTCCATTTTTAAAGAAAATATTTTATTACATCGTGGAAAAAAAGCATAATCATCCAGGTTCATATTGTTTAAAAAAACTGAACATTTGTTTGAGACAGCATGTCGGTATATTCTGTTCCACACGGGAATGATAAGAAGTCTACATCATTACTAGATATTGCACAGTCTGAAAGAAACAAAAACAAAAATCACATGATCTTGGGAACCATCTCACATTATGAAAAACCTACTAAGAAACATAAAAACAAACAAACAAACAAACAAAAACACCTTTTGTTTCTACAGTAGCTTTAAGTTTATAATTCTTGGAATGACCATATTTCACTGAAGACCACCTCAGTGACAGGAAGCTTCATTTCAGCAATCCCTTGTGCAAATAAGATTAATAATAATAATAAAAAATGCAGTTAGTCTTTTGATATCACATGGGCAGCAATAATCACATATGTGTTAAATTCCTGCCTGAAAAAAAAGGGGGAATTAGGCCATAAGTTTTGCCTGCAACTCCATCTCTGCTGCCCTTTTGAGTGCAACATCCACCAGAAGCTGAAATCCACTAAAATCTTGGTTGAGGTCTGGTGGAGTAGGAGGAGGAGTGTTGAAAAGGCCACTTTGTGCATTTGTACCAGGTCCCAGTTTAGAAGCATCCTCGTGGTATTCAAGAGTGTTGTCTGTGAATCTGCTAGCTGATGTCTGCTGCAGGTCGGTGGTTGGGCCTACACCAGCTGGCTGGCACAAAAGGAAAGGGGCATCTTTCAATGCAGTTACAGTGGTATGGCAAATCACTGAAGGTCGAGCCAAAACAGATCCTGGGGAAGAAGGTTTAGAAGAGACAGCCTTGTTTAGTCCTGTGGTACCAGAAAGAAATGAGTTCTCTTCCAACAGTGGAATGTAGTTTTTTGTGCCTGTGGAAGACTCCACTGGGCTGCCTTCAGAAATCTTGGTCCCTCTTCGTGAGATAGTGAATTGATTTGGATCCTTGCCATCCTTCCTCAGCATGTCAGGTAAAAGCCTGCGGCGTGCATTGATAAACCAGTTGCAGACCTGGGAACATAATGATATCTTAATTTCTACCTTCATTCACTTCCGCACTACATGCCATTAGAGTCTTTCAGTTAGATTAATGAATCCCTCCAAGCAGTTTCCTTAACTCTACAACAAAAGAGACTGATCGACAAGTTCTGACACACCTAGTAAAAACCTTTCTACCCCCAACTCTTCTCTCCATTGCAAAAAAAAAAAAAGATTGCTAGCCTGAAGTGGAAGGTTTAGCTTTTAACTCTGAACATATATTAACCTATTACCTATTGTTCTCTGCATTTAGGTTAATTAACAACAGGAAAACCTTTTCTCTCTGAAAAGAGCCACTCCTCCCACAAACAGTTACTGATTTTTCCTGCTCAACTGACTGTGTCAACAGACATAACATGAATTACCTCATTGAAATGCATCCTTGTTTAAATATCAAGTCAGTTTCCTGGGCAATAGCAGATGACTTAACGTCTTTTTTTTTAAAGTATTTTTAAAGTAGTTTTTCCTTACAATGTTATATTAAAGAAATTTTACTTAACTAATTGCAACATTTATATCAAAATACTGATCTATAAAGAAAAAAAAATAAAATTTACCACTAATAGTAATACTTTGCAATTCTATATGACCTTCCATCCAAAGATTTTAAAATACACAAACATTCATGCCCTAAAGGCTTGTCTACACTATCACTTTTGTTGGTATAACTTATGTCGCTCAGGGTTGTGAAAAAATAGCCCCGAGTGATGTAAGTTACACCAACAGATGCACCAGTGTGGACAGCGCTCTACTGGCGGGCGAGCAGCTACAGAAGCGATTTTACAGCAGTGCAGCTGCCTCAGTACAGCTGTGCCACTGTAAACTCGCTAGTATAGACAAGCCCTAAAGACTCTCAGCTTTCCTGTGAGGTTACCCATACTACAATGGAGGAAAGAGAGGCACAGAAAGGCTAAGTGCCATGCCCTGAGTCACACATGTTTCAGTGGCAGAGTCTAGAACAGAACCCAAATCTCCTGACTCACCATTCCCAAATAAGGGCTTCATCCTGCAAACACTCATGCATATGAATAGCTTTACCCATGTGACTTGTCCCACTGACTTTATGAATCATGAAGACTCATATAAAAAAAAGTTACATATACTCAAGTGTTTGTAGGATTAGGCCCAAAGTCACCATTTTAATAGCGTAAAGAAAATTATACTGCTAATACATGTGCTTATCACCCTGATCACTTTGCTTATATGCAAAGACTGATGCACATGCTTAACTTTATGCACTGTCAGTAGACCCACTGAAGTCACTTTAGCCACAATGTGCAAAATTAAGCATGTGCATAAGACAATACAGTATCAGGGACATCATCTGTAAGCTTGTATTTGTACACTACCTAGAACAACAGGGTCCTGGGTCCTAATCCTAGTCAGTGCCTTTGGGTGCTACCACAACACAAACAATAATAACATATAAAGAAAATTACATCTGTAGTATGAACCTTTTTAGAGAGACTAGAAAGTGGGTAACTTCAGAAGCGAAAACAAAGGCTCATTTTTATTTTAATTGGAGCTTTTAAAAATACCTGTAGTGTAGAAAGGTGTGTTTGTCGGGACAATAGTGCTTTTTCTTGCTCTGATGGATAGGCATTGTATCGGTGCTCATACAGCCAGTCCCGAAGAATCTGCACTGACTCCTTGGGCAGGTTACCACGTCTCCTCCGTTTGCCTGAGGCAGTGGAAGAGGAAAGATCCAGTGGGACATCCATGGTGTCATCCTCCTCCGTCTCACTGCCAGATATTGCAGCTACACCTACAGTAATAAAAAGGTGAGAATAGTCACTTCAATTCAATACACTTCTTATTTGCAGCATTTTTCACTTCGACACTTTTCTCTCTCTCTCTCTCTCTATATATATATATATATGTTTCCTAACGTAAACATATATAATGATAAATATATAAATTATTTTTTAATGTATGAAGTATTAACAAGTGGACAATTCCTTGCCAGCTCAGATGTTGTGAGCCTTTATTGTGAGTCAAACCAGGCCTCATGTTTAGAGGATGTGTACTGTAACAAAAGTAGCACCAACTACCTATTCCTAGGGGATACTTCTCCACACAACCTCATTTACTGGTTCCCTTAGCAACCTTTTATTTGGTCATATGCAGTAAGTAACTTCCATCTGATGCCAATATCATGCCAAATGTTGGTCAGCAAAGGGTGCTACTGTGGTATGCCTCCAACAATCTTTTTTCTTCAAGGCTGTTTCATGGCTAGGCAAAAAGCCAATAGACAAGAATTTCAAAACATGCACCCAACCTAAACCTTGGCTGTATTGAATTACAATTTAACATGCTGGTGCGTCTCCTTCTGATTAAGGATAACTTTATAGGTTTAAAATGTTAACAGCGCTTTCCAGAACGACTAATAAAAATGAATAGCACAGGAAAAGAACAGAACGCAAGTTGTGGCTGGTTCTTCTAAAGTGACACAAAATTCACTCACTGAGGAAAAAGTGTACAGCAAGGTAACAGTAAGTGCCTAAATAGTGCCACAAGGTAGTATAGAATTGCTATCATTTATTTTTCTGGAGAACAGGCCACACTTCAACTTTGTCCTGATTACTTATGCTTTGAACCTTATAGTTTTCCTCACACTTCAAGTAGTACTTATTCAGATATTGACATATGTTTACTGCAAGAACTCTAGATTTACAGTTTTACTGCACATTTTTCTCCCATAGAGAAGGAATTTATTTCAAATCTCATTTAGTCTCTGTCTTCTATAATTAATTCAGTAAACCATATGACTAATAATTTGGAACTACAATATGTGAACAATCAAATAAATACTTCATATTCTGTGGCTGAACAACAGTCTGAAATTCGGCTCTTCAGCAAAGTGTACAGTGTGACTGAGGAAACAAAACAAATAGCACTGAAATCCATAAAGGAAACTTTGCTTTGGCTTTAAGTACTTTAATCCCACCAGAAATTTTAGGAATCTTACAAACCATATATAAATCTAAATCACTGATACCACTAGATTCAATTAGCACAGTTCAGAAGCTTTTTTGATTCACAATAGGTTTGCTTTCAAAAGTATTTTCTCGAAATTACAAAAGGAAAATGAGGCCCTAAATCACTTTTAAGTTAGTCTGAACATCCTTTTTATTTAAAAAAAGAAAAGAAACTTGCATATTTATAAAAGCAAGCAAAGTTAAAAATCAGACAGAAAGGTTTCATATGGGCAGCTGTCCAAATTTCAAAACTACACCGCTACCTTGATATAACGTGACCCGAAATAACACAAATTGGGATATAACGCAGTAAAGCAGTGCTCCCGGGGGGGCGGGGCTGTGCACTCCGGTGGATCAAAGCAAGTTCAATATAACGCAGTTTCACCTATAACGCGGTAAGATTTTTTGGCTCAGGACAGCGTTATATCGAGGTAGAGGTGTAATACTTAAACTAAACTAGAAAAAAAATCAGTTCTATTAAAATGGAAGCTATGCCTGTGAAACTCTACATTTATGTTCATACTTAAAGATTTAATGGGAATTGATGTCAGACCCAAAAGAGAGAGAACTAATTGTGAGTTTTTGCATAGTAGTTTCACAGATACCTATGAAATGCACAAATGTGGTATGACAGAGTTGAGCATTTGATAAGTTTTGCCTTATCTCTATTCATGAACAAATCACAGTATTTCTTGAATTTGTCATTTGCAATTATTGAGATTTATCCAAGGAATTTTTTGTTAATACTCTGTCAATATTCACAATTCAGTCTGTGGTGGTTACTTAAGTAACTTGTGTGGTATTGTTTTCTGTTCCCTGGATGGATGATTTATGTAACTAACCAACACTCTGAATATTACAGTTGAATATACAATTCATACTATGATGATTAGTTACATAAGTTATCCAGTCAGGGTACAAAAACAATGACATTCAATTTAAATAACCAACTCAAGGTAAATTCTGAATTGTATATTTGATTTAGTTCTTAGTGCATGTATGTGGTATTTTCAAGTGGGGGGGAAAAAATCTATCAGGACCCTAATAGCGTCACATTAAAATATTATTTTGCTTGAAAAGTACGTTATGATGGCTCTACACAGCAGCTCACTAACTGCAAAGTAGACTTATGACTAGCTAAAACTAGTTTACAGAATTCAGAGAAAGATATACCACAATCCCATGGCTTAAAGTTGAAGCTAGACAAATTCAGACTGGAAATAAGGCGTTTTTAAATGTCTAACAGTGAGTATTAACCATTGGAGCAATTTACCAAGGGTTGTGGTGGATTCTCCATCCCTGACAATTTTTAAATCAAGATTGGATGCTTTTCTAAAAGATCTGCTCTAGGAATTATTTTGGGGGAAGTTTTATGGCCTATGCTATACAGAAGGTCTGACTTGGAATCTATGAATTTACCTAATGTTCCAAACATTTCTGTTTTTGCTTGTGGTAGATTAAAAATGTTGCCGCACTGATTTTTTTTTTTAAGGGGATAATAAAATGTTAGGCCACAGAGACAGTTATCAAAACAGAGACCTTGGGAGACAGGTAAAGAAGGAGCTGAAAGCACAGCAATGGTGTAAAGCAGGAACAAAAGAGGTGCAATCAGTGTGCCTACTCACAGGAATAAATTTACATTCATAAGTGCAGTTATATAGAAATTATTTGAGATTAAATTCTCAAGGTTTAGTAAACATTCCATGCAAAGCTTCTTTCTAAACAGTAAGACCAGAGTTCTGCTTTGATAACAAAGATTTAGGGTTTGGAACTGTTGTTCTTTACCCGCTGCTAAAATTTGACATAAAGATTAAAAAAAAAAAATAAATATATATTTGTTGAAAATGCAATCTGAGATCACATTGTTTTATTAATTAAAAAAAAAGTTTCCCTTCAAACAACTGTAAGTTTCCTAACTGTAACGCAGTAATAAAAAAAATAAATGAAACAACACTGGAGTCTGCACTTTGATCTGCTTACTTAGTGTGACATGTTCCCTCAATTTTATGACACAAAACAGGTTTTGGTTAAACAGGAACAAACGGCATTGCAGTTTCTCATTTAAATAAAAGAGCAGCAGACCTCTGAACCTTTAACAAACATCTCCAACGGCATGTGCAGAAGCTGTAGCAACAGGAAGTTAAGGCTGTAGATCTCATACAACCTCAGCTGATACTCTAGGAGAGCAGAAGCCACGTTGTTGCTGTCAAAACCCGTGTTTTCATTAGAACATTCATGCTGATTGCAACTCAACTTTGTATTTTCTTCTTATTAGTAATCAGACTATATGCTGTTGGTTTCCACTTTAGTAGGGCACAGCTGAAAGGCTTCCCACCGAGGCTCCATGTCTGGACCATTTACTGTTATTTATACCCCAGAATAAGGGCTTGTCTACATGCAGAATACTTCCATCTTATTTTAAGTTGTGATTTTAAAACTGATTCTGTTATACTGGTATAAAAGGCTTTGTGGACACTTATTTCTGTTTAAATCAGGCTTTTACAAGTTAGCTTCAGTTGATTATATGTTTAAACTGAAATAAACCCTTCTTAAACTGATGCAAGAATGTCTACAGAGTGTTTTGCACTACTTAAACTGAACGGGTGCACATTTGTATGTAAACAGGGCCTAAGACACAAGAAGTGACCCTGTCTCTAATTCTATAAGCTTTACTCAGATAAGCAGTCCTTATTCATACAAAAATAGTTTCACTGATTTCAGTGAGGACTACTCCTAAAGGTTGATAAGTTTTGCCTTATCTCTATTCATGAACAAATCACAGTATTCTTGAAGGATCAGCAGGCCCCCCTCTTTTATATAATGTGAATTGATTTACCTGCACCCAGCTTCTAAGTCTGGCAGCATGTAGAGAATTTAACATACTGTGTTACATTACATCACAGGCCAAAGAGTTCCTTGGTCCCTTTCTTGTTCACTGCTAGGGAGATCATGCCTTGAACACTGCATAAAATTCTGAGCACCTCAATACCTGGATGATACTAAATAACGGTAAAGAATTCAGTTAAAGCTTCCTGGCTTAAAAGCCTGAAGGGATAAATCTGATGAGGAAAAAATAATTATGTGCATAGTTTTTTCAAAATGATAACTAAAGTTGATATGGAAAAAACTATCAGTACTTATAAGGTATGAACACCAAGAAGGAGAAAGAATTATTTGGGATAGATTGGGGCCTTAACTTGGAGAAATGGAATAAAGTTAAGTTAAGCAAATTAAAATTTGGGCTGAATATCAGGAAAAATATCCTATTGTATTGTAGCAGAGCTTCCCAAGAGAACTGGTAGAAACCAATTGTTTGAATCACTTGAAACTGAATGAGTATACTGCAAGCCACAGTCTCCTTTGGCAGAAGGAATAGATTAGATCACCTCATGGATAATCTAGCTTCATTTTTCTGTTTCTGTGAATTTCTTTGGTTGGGTTGTACATGTATTTTTCTAGATAATATTTTCAATCTAAAAAGCCCCCAATCTTCCTGTAATTGACTTCACTAGGACTACACATAGTCATATGCATAATCTTCAACAGGGCTATACACCTTTGCAGGACTGGAGACTACAAGTGTAGTCTATAGGGCTAGCCTACCTGCTTATATATCTTCTCTTAACGGGTTTATTTGTTTTATCATAATAGCATTATAAATTTGTATTAAGAGTATTTTTGGCTGTAATGCAAGGCCACATCCTGTATGCTGAGCTAATGCAAGTTAGCATACATCTGTTTGAGACAGTTAGCCTAGATAGGTGATGATTACATATATATGTATAAGTATATATGTATGTATGTGACCTTTAACATAGATAAGTGAGGATGGTTAAGAGCGAGATAGTATAGGTAGGGGCATCCTAAGTTCATATAGTCTTCAAACTTAACAAGTACACCACAAAGAACACAGAAATAACTGGCTAGGCCAGAAATAAGAGATAGTGTGAATATGTCATTAATATGTACAAACATACCAGCCTATAGAGTAAGTGTACCCTGATATTTTTTGTGGGTGAGGAAATTAAGTTTGGACATGGAAGGAGGGCACATGAGAGAGCTGCAGTGTGACTGCTATAAGAGCTACATTTCATTATTATTATTTAAGAAATAAACTTTTGCCATCCATGGAAGAGGTTTCAGAGATTTAACTTAGGATATTCCAATTTAGAAAGTAACTTTAGTTAAAGGTTTGTGAATTTTTAAAAAAAAATAACCAGGTTAAATAGTATTTATAATTAACCAGATCAGACACAGGAGCTATGGGAATGTGTAAAGGAATTTTCCATTGCAGATAATTAGAAAAGTTTTCCTTTTCCTTTAAATGTGATTTTACAAGTAGAAGAACCAGTTTTCTTTCCTCTGCATTGCTTTGAGATTTACTGGTTCCACAAAGTAGGCAAACTTGGCTGTACTATAAAAAACAAAATTTTAATATTTTTTTTAGACTACAATAAAGAAATCTGAAATCAGGTCATGCTCTGAAACGTAAGTATCAAAATACAGGCCACAAAAGCAAACTGCAAGCCCAGCCTTTAATTAAAAAGGAAACAACAAAAATCATTGTCCTAACTTCTTTGAAAAGTTTCCATGCATCTGTGAGCTTCTTCTCACTTCCTAATTTCTGCCACATGAACTCTAAACCAATTCTTCTGTCTCAAAGGTTTGCCTTCCAATATGCCGCCTTTCATTGTTTCAGTGCAGAACTCCCAAATCACCAGGCAGACTACACACAGAGAGAAATACATAGGCAGACATGGTAACCTCGTCAGCATTTTTCACACATATTTAGTTTGGAGTTGGAAGTGTGTGAAGTTGGTATTTAGACAACCAGTAGCTGCTCTCTGGGAGAGGAATCTGAACAATGGAAGCAGCAGCAGACAGGAAACCAACTCATCACCACTACTGTGCAAATAGGGAGCACAGGAATGTTCTAAAAATAACTAGTCTAAATAATTCAGTAAAACCATATACCTCCAGTAACCTTAACAATCTGAACAAATCTACAAAAATGGGAAAATCTAGAGTCAAGGCTGTAACTGTCTCTAGGTACAGAGGGCTGGGCTTGGTATGCAACACGTGTTATCTAAAATCACTCCAGTTAGGAGAACACTGAAATATTTGGCGGGGGAGGGGGGTATATAAATACAAAGTTTCGGTTTGAACTCTGAATTCCTTGCTTTTTTTGAGAGTGTAAACAGGACCCGCACTGACTGTTGTCTAAACTTTGCCTTTGCGGCTTAATTTCCTTTGTGTGTTTTGTTTTAAATCAGTATAGTCCAAGATTACTTATGAGAACTACAAACTATATTAGAGCGCATCTTAAATTATACAGCAAGAATTCAGAAGGTGCTTAATAGGTGTATTTAAAAATCATACTCTAATGGCTCCAGGAACATTAACAACGACGTAGATTTCTGGACCCTTGAACAACAAGAGCGTGTAGTAGGAAAAACAACACTGCTCTAGAGTAGTAAACATGCGCAGTACTCCTTTTTTTAACCCTCAGTATCTTGGATATTTTAAAGGTCTTTAAATATCAAAAATCATTCATCTACATTACTGATTAGCCACTTAAAAATGGGGAGCTGGGGAAACTGACGAGGAAACAAACATCCGAAATCTGTTTTTTTTTTAAACAGCAGTAACGTTTTTAAAATGTTTTTCCGATTCTTTGCAACCACGTTTTAGTTTTCACGATACTTAGAGGACTACAGATGGAAATATCGACAATCCCATGATTATAAAGTCTGTCCAAGTGGTAATTACGTAAGTAACACTAATGAAAAGTTTTCCAAACGTCTTTTTTGCTGCTTCCCCGCCACGTGGTGGGTAAGTTTTTAAATCACTTTACTTTTAGTATTCAAACAAAAAAAGAAGAAGAACTCTTTGATAAAAAGGCAGGAGATAGATCTGCAGATCGATTTAAAAAATCTCACTTTAAATTCTCCGACAGTCCCCCACTTTTGTCCCCTTTCCCCATGCTAACTCGCAAACAAAGAGCTCCTGCCACCCCGTTGTTCTGGCTGCATTGCTCAGAGAGTTGTATTTGGGTTGGAATTTGCTTTTTAAAGTTGTGAAAACAATTCCAGTCCCGTCCTTGGGGACCGGACTGGAGAAATTAGAGTGAAGAGAGAGAGGGAGGAGGAAAGGGGGAAGAAAAGGGCTGTTTTAAAAAGCGAAAATAAAACTTTGTTGGGGACAAAGCAGGCAGTTGACCAGGTTTTTGACAGGGAGCCAAGCAGCATGGAGAGAAAGCAGCGTCCAAACAGCCCCTCATGTTTTGTCTGGAAGTGAAACATTATCAACTGCCATTTCAGACATGAGCTCAACAAAGAGGAAAAGGGCCAGATTAGAAAGAAAAAAAGGAGGGTGAGATAAGAAAACCGGTTCCACTTTATTTAATAAGCCAAATCAAACTCCAATGAAGTTTAAACCACACGCCTGTTATTTCCATATGGCGAAAGCAACATGCTTTCCACTTTCCCGTCCAGGTTTAGCAACAGCACGCTGAGGAATCACTCTGTCTCTCTCACACTCACACGCACCCCTCCCTACCTTTTTTACTTTTCATCGTGGTCTCGAGCACCGGACTGCACCAGCTGGCAAGGCTTGCTACCCAACGGGCACCCCACGCACAAATCAAGTTGCCTTTTCTTGCTTGCGGAGCAATCTTCGCTTTGCAACTTGAAAGGCGGGCAGAGGGCTCCCTTCCCAGCCGTAGCTGCTACCCAGGGCGCTTCAATGGGCTATGTGTTGTGTCACGGCGAGCTGACAGCTTCCTTCTGCCTGGGATGTTTGGTCCGGATTTGGTGCTTTCCCTCCTCTTCTTTCTTTGTTCTTTTTTCCCCCCCTCTCCGGTGCTGGGCCCCAGCTTGTCAACGTGAGAAAAGGCACCAGGGGGAAAGGTACCCTCCGCCCACCTTTCAGCAATGAGTGAGAGAGTAACTGAGAGCAATAGACGCTTTGCCTCCTCCTCCTCCTCCTCTCTGGCTGCGGAGACGGTTGTCAGCAGAGGGGAGGGAGAGGGATACTCACTCACACACACACAACAGAGCGTGTGATGTGACAGTGCAGGGCAGGCAGAGCCTCTGCGCCTTCTGGTTCCTGCCTTTCTTCCCAGCCAGGCGTTTGATCATTAAACTGGGAAGGGGAAGGGGGGGGGAGGAGGATTTTGACAGCTGCCCCTGACTTAGCCTCCTCCTGTTGCTGCCGGATGAGCCACCCACTCCTTAGTGTGAAGAGAATGGAGAAGAAAGAAAAGCAGCGTAGAGCAAGAAAAGAGCGCTTAAAAGATTAGCATAGCATTGAACAAGCCCTGCTCTTCCTCCCCACCCCCACGGACTAGTCTCAGACCAAAAAGGAAAAAGAAAAAAACCTAAGACGCCAAAAGGCTCTTTGCTCCTTCTCCTCCTCGGGGGTTGTTATGGTTGGAGCCGCCTTGTTATGATGCTGACGGGCTTGCAGGGCAGTTTCGAAATTCCTGGCACGCCGGAGCCCGAGACACCCTGTCATTCTCACATGCTTTCAAACTTCTCAATCACGGTGCGCGCCGCAGCGTGGCGTGCTCTGATTCAGCGCGCTGCCGTCCCAGCCAGCCCCCAGCTGTGGCTGCCTTGTCTGGAAACGGGGCGACGCGCCTTTAGGGGTCATCCGGTAAATAATCCAGCCCCTTGTCCAACGCGGATTTGGTGACCTTGGGGTTGTTTCTTTCCCACCCACCACCCTAGTGTTTTAGAGGAACGAACACAAAAGTCCCCCTTAATTCGGGTTTGTCCGGTCCCCCCGTGTGAGAGAAGATTCTCTCGTGCTGGGGTTATTTTAAGCCGATTTTTAAAGGTTTTTTTGTTTTGTTTTCACTTTTTTTGATAGGCTTTGCTGTGCGTTTCAATCAGACATGCTCGCTCGTGGCTTTTTAAAAAACAGCTCGACTCAGCCCTCTTAAGTTATCACGTGGTTTCAGCAACAGTTGAGTCTGATTCTTTGAGATGAGACACGCTGGAGTTCGAGCTGCTTGTTCCTGTAGGGTTCGATCCACCCTCCCCCTCCTTATCCCCCACCCCCACGCGAGGTCTTTCCATTGACTGAAATGGGAGCTGGCTCCAGCTCGTAAAATAACAAAGGCTCCTTTCCCGGAGTTCCTTTGTGCTCGTCCTTCATCGGTTCCAAAATTGGATTTTGTTGGATAAGGACGAATAAAAGTATTGACACAAAACGTGTGAGACGAGGAATTCAAGGGGTTCATCCTCTGCTTGACCTTTAGCAGGGAAAACAAGCAAGCCCCTGTGTACTCGCTCTCAACCCCACGTAACACTGTTTGAATTAAGGAAGGAGCCTTCCTCATAGTTTAGGCTGTAAAAGTAAACCTGGTTTTAAATTACACAATGAAACAGACCAGGAACCATGGCTTTAATTTGAGTCCAGCAGCCTATAGCTAGGCACAAAAGCCCATGCGCGTCTGACGCAGAAAGGGAAGCAATAGTATTTTTTAAAATGTCCTAAGACACCTTGTAGCTGTTTTTCTGTAGAGTAATTACCCTGCCATCGCTGAAGATAAAACAGCTGTGACGTTCTGAATGAGGGACATATGTGGAATGGGGAGGGTGGCTTTGGAGCAATTTAAGTTAACAAGGCACTAGTGTTTGCTGCTGCCTTCTTAGTGGTTCTCTTTTATGTAACTTAGGGCAATTTGGCACAGGGATTGGTAGCTCATATCCGGTGTATCTGCATGAAAGAGACGGAGCAACGAGTGAGTGAGTGAGCGGGGAAGGGCCTAACAACAGCCAGACATACTGACTCACGGAGGCTTGGGCCGGTGTAGTGAGAGTAGGGGAGGAGACAAGCAGTGCAGACTAGAACATAGGTTGGGGAGGGAATGCTGTGTAACTATGAAAGCAACAACAGAGTGGGTCATCTTTTGCAAAACCAAAATTGCTATTCAAACTTTCCTGGTGTTACTAGATGGGTTGGGCAGCTTCATCTTGGGAGAAAGGGAAAGTAGTTCCCTTTCCCACTAGCTGTGTAGATTTTTAAGTTTTTTTTTGTTTGTTTGTTTTTTGTTTGTTTTTTGTTTTTTGCCACAGGGGGTGGGTGGCTTTAAAAAAAAAAACACTAATTGACGAATTCTGTGGTTCAGGTGAGGGAGGTGTAAGTGTGTAGCTAAAGTTCAAGATGCTTTATAATGCCTTAGTTAGTTATCCCCCTCTAAGAGCTTGAAAGCAAGAGACCTAGTCAAGAGTGGGTATTTTTAACTTGAAATGAAATAACACTGCTTCTGAAGCACCGGTGATGACTCATGGGATTTTTTTTGTTTGATGTTTTCCTGTTCCCAGCTGTGAGGTTTGAGTTTATAACTGGGGTTTTGCACGTCTTTCCCAGGTAATCCTAAAATATAATTAAGGGGGTTTTCAGAGAATTTCTGGGGGTACATCAACTCATTTAGATATTTGTCTACTTTTACAACAGGCCACATAAAAACCACTAGCAAAGTCAATATCAACTAAAATTTCATACAGACAATGACTTCTTTATATTGCTCTATACACTATATATTGAAATGTAAGTACAATATTTATATTCCAGTAGATTATTTTTATAATTGTGGTAAAAATAAGATAGTCAGCATTTTTTCAGTAATAGGGTGCTGTGACACTTGTATTTTTATGTCTGATTTTTGTAAGCAAGTAGTATTTGAGGAAGGTGAAATTTGGGATATGCAAGACAAATTACACTCCTGAAAGGGGTATGGTAATCTGGAAAGGTTGAGAACCCCTGCTTTGCTACATAACAGCCAGGCCTGTTATCACTCACTAGTTTCATATTGGCTTTGGAGTTGCTAACATGTTAGTAGTTTAAAATCTTAATTTGTACATTTTGAGTATTTGAAAAACAAGTAGAGCCATTTGGTGAGGATAAATCAGGATTGTGTGCCTATCATGGTTACTGAGATGCTCCTGCCTCCTTTGCTCCAGAAGTTAGAGGGTTGTATAGTACTACCAGGATAGGTGCTCTTGGCTACCCAAAACCAAGGGGGAGGGACTAATAAACACAGATTACCAGTGATTTCTGAGAGTGAGAAAATAGGGACAGGAGTGGCGGTCAGGGTAAAAATCAGATAACCAGAAGGGACACCGAGCAGAGAACTACTGACAGTGCCTAGTGCTCCTCAGAGGCATCTAAGGGATCAGTGGACATTGTCCAGAAGAACTCAGCTGGGAGTAGGGTTGCCAACTTTCTGATTGCAGAAAACCAAACACCCTTCCCCTACCCAGCCCCTTCTCCGAGGGCCCCATCCCCTGCTCACTCCATCCCCTCTCCCTCTGTCACTCGCTATCCCCCACCTTTACTCATTTTCATTTCACCCAGCTGGGGCAGTGGGTTAGAGCGAGATTTGGAGTGTGGGAGGGGGCTCAAGGTTGGGGCAGGGGGCTAGGGTGTGTATGGGGGGGGTGAGGGCTCTGAAGTGGGGCAGGTGAGGGCTTTGGGGTGCAAGAAGGGGTGCAGGGTGGGGGCTCTGGGATGGAGTTTGGGTGCAGGAGGAGGTTCTGGGCAGGGGGCTGAGGTACAGGAGTGGATTCCAAGCTGGGGCAGAGGGTTGGGGTGTGTGTAGGGGGGTTGAGGGCTCTGGCTGGGGATGCAGGCTCTGGTGTGGGGCTGGGGATTAGGGGGTTTGGGGTGCAGCAGGGGGCTCGAAGCTGGGGCTCGGAGTGCTGGCTCTGGGAGGGCATTTGGGTGTGGGAGGGAGCTCAGGGCTGGGGCAGGGGGTTGGAGCACGGGAGGAGGTGCGGGCTCTGTGCAGTGCTTACCTCAGGTGGCTCCCAGAAGCAGCCGGTATGTCCTTGCAGGCTCCTAGGCAGAGGCACAGCCAGGTGTTTCTGTGCACTGCCTCTGGCCGCAAGCACTGCCCCCACAGCTTGGGGTGGGAGCACTGTGTGGAACCTCCCTGGCTGCCCCTGAGCCTAGGGGCTGCAGGGACATGCCATCTGCTTCCAGGAGCCATGCGGAGCCAGGGCAGGCAGGGAGCTGCCGTAGCCCTGCTGTGCCACTGACTGGACTTTCAGTGATGCTGACCAGAGCAGCCAGGGTCCCTTTTCGACTGAGTGTTCTGGTCAAAAACTGGATGCCTGGCAACTCTAGCTGGGAGGCCTCACTGGAAAAGGGAATGGAAATAAGCTCCGCAGTCAGAGTATTGCTCCCCCTCATCCAGCTTCCTCCTCCTCCTGGTATAATGGATGGCTGTGCTGGCCAGTGCCCTAAAGTAACAGTTAATTTAGATCCCATCATTTTGTATGTATAGTTGGGATTATGTTTACCAATGTGCATAAATTCAAAGTAATCAACATTGAATTTCATCTGCCATTATGTTGCCCAGTCACCCCGTTTAGTGAGATTTCTTTATAATGCTTCACTGTCAGCTTTGGGCTTAACTATCTTGAGTAATTTTGTATTGTCTGCAAATTTTGCCACCTCACTGTTTACCCCTTCTTCCAGATCATATTCATAATATGTTGAACAGCATGGGTTCTAGTACAGATAACTGGGGGACACCACTATTTACATTTCTCCATTCTGAAAAATGACTATTTATTCCTACCCTTTGCTTCCTGTCTTTTAACCAGTTACTGATCCAGGAGAGGACCTTCCCTCTTATCCTATGACTGCTTACTTTGCTTAATAACCTTTTGTGAGGGACCTTGTCAAAGACGTTCTGAAAGTCCAAGCACACTATATCCATTTGATTACTCTTGTCCACATGTTTATTGACCCCCTCAAAGAATTAATAGGTTGGTGAATTATGATTTCCTTTTACAAAAGCCATGTTGACTCTTCCCCAACAAATAGTGTTCATCTGTCAGACAATTCTGTTCTCTAATATAGTTTCAACCAATTTACCTGGTACTGAAATTAACCTTACTGGCCTGTAATTGTCAAGGTCCCCTCTGGAGCCTTTTAAAAAAATTGGTGTCACATTCACTATCCTCCAGTCAGCTGGTACAGAAGTTGATTTAAATAAGTTACATACCACAGTTATAGTTTTGAAATTTCATATTCATGTTCTTTCAAAACTCTTGTGTGGCTACCATCTGGTCCTGGTGACATATTACTGTTTAAGTTTGTTCCAAAATCTCCTCTA